GTTTCCAGGTTGCGTGGCAATCCTTTTTTCAATTCTTTATTATTAATATTCATTAAAATTTACTATTATTTTTTATTATTGTTTATTAGTAATGATTTATTATCAAATAAATAAATAATCTCTAATTAATGAAATTAGATAAATATATTAATAAATATATATTATAAATATTGACTAATGAACAATTGGTACAAGTTATGATAAAAATCCAAACGATTTAAATTACATTTTTCGAATTTTTTAAATTATTGATAAAAATTCATAATTGAAGATTCGTGTTTTTAAAATATGGATCAGATCGCGATGCAAAATGTGCTTAGTCAAATAGCATTATCTTTATTTCTTTTGTGCACAAATGTTAAGTACATACACATATATAATATATATTGTTCGTCTCGTAATGGAAAAAAATATTTTCTCTCTCTCTCTCTCTCTCTCTCTCTCTCTCTCTCTCTCTCTCTCTCTCTCTCTCTCTCTCTCTCTCTCTCTCTCTCTTTCTCTCTCTCTCTTTCTCTCTCTTTTATTTTATCAGACTTTCATATTACGTCAATATTCTTTATAGAAATTGTGACTTGAGATAGAGGTGCACTCGACTTTGAAGATTTTGCGATAAGTCGCGCACATCGAATCGTAAATAAACTTGTATAAAACTGCGCGTCCCCTTAAAATAACAGAGCAATCAGAGCATAAATCTTTTAAAGGGCTGTCAAACAGGTGATAAAGTCATCGCAAAAAAAAATACAAGTGTCGATGCGAATTATATTATACACTGAAATAATCTCTTCAAAAGTGTCTTTTCAAAGAAGGAGAGAAATATTTCTGTTTTTTTTTTTTTTTTTGAATTTGTAATCTTATTTGTGTAATTAAAAAGAAAATTGTTTAATTAAAAAATAATTACATTCTAGTGTAACTGATTAAATTGTAATTTAATTAAAAAGTGATTAAATAAATTTTCATTTAGTAATTTAATTAAAAAATGACTAAATTACATTTTAATTTTGATAATTTAATTAAATAACAATAATAATAAGGAAATTCAGAAGGAAATTGAAGCTTTTAAAAAAATTAGAATTGTGAAAAACTGCAATTTTTGAAAAAATTTTTTTTTTATTCAATCGTTGGATGTTTACCTCGGGGTTACTTAATATGTGAGCGATTATGCCGTAAGGTTATATATATATGTATGAAAACGCACGTGTTCATATTTAATCCAACTAAGCTTTGACAGTTATAAATGAAGTCCTCACTTAGGCCCAGAAAACAGACTATCAATTTAAAATCTTTTCATGAATACTCAAAGACTTCATAAATATTTAAAAAGTTGAGAAAATACAGAAACGGAAGATTTACTATTTCGCAATATGTATAATATACAATATATGTATACATATAAAACGCGCTTTCAGATCAATATGACGAAATTTCTGCGTCGTTATTTTGATCAGATGCAGAATTTCAAATTCAGGTATATATTAGATAGAAAATTATGTATTTGAAATAATTGAAAAAGAATCGAATTTTTTCTTTTATTTCTTTTATTTATTTTTGATCCGCTCTCTAAATTTAAATCGGTAGAATTTTTACTAATTAAATTAAACTAATAAATAATTTTTCATTTTAAATAAATATTAAAAATTAGAAATATAATAATAGGTTTAAAAATAATTTTTCTGTTTGATTTTTTTTCGATTAAATTAATTTTTTCTGCATAATAATTTTAAATTTTTAATAAATTTTTTAAGGTAAAATTAAGAATTAAGTTTAAAATTAATTTTTATTTAGTTTTTTCATTCGATAGAAAAGACTTCGCAAAAAAAAATTCGAGAGTTATTTTCATGGCGAAATTAACATTTTTTTTTTTTAAATAGTTTAGTAAAAATTCTTTTACTTAATAAAACACCTAAAAATTTAATGCCCCAAAGAATGAAAATTTTTTTTGTAATTTATACAATTTATTAGTTTATAATGAACTGCGCTGGACACTTATAATGGAAAAAAAAGTAAATTAAAAAAAAAGGGAAAAAATTCGAGAAGAAAAGAAAAAGTTTTACTGTTTACTATATATAGAGATATAGTATTATAAACGCGGTGCGAAAGTAGTAATTGCACGGTAGTGTTATGCTAATCACTCTTTAGTAAAAGTAATATAATGATTATGGTATGTATTACGTGGCGATAGTATTCAGATAACGTCTTTTGAAACACAAAAAAATTAATGTCTTTGTAAACATTCCTCTCTTCCCCCTTCTGCCCCCCCACAATCTTCTAGGTGCTTCTAAATAATATGGAATTAAATGATAAATTAATTTAAATCATTTGCACGTCATTAAAATAATTTATGACATTTATTCGATAATGTCAGAACTGATACAAATCATTTTCTTTTTTGTAGCGGATTTTTTTTATTTAAGTCGCAATTTTTTTTTTGAAATTAAATCTGATTTGACATAATTGGTGAATTTAAATTTTGAATTTAAATTTTCTGTTTAATGGTATTCGGAATTTATTATTATTTTTAGCAAATAGGGCAAATGATAATGTAACTTTTGCTATTTACAATAAAGAAATATGTGCTAAAGTTTTAACAAAAAGGTAATTTTGCACTTTTTTGTTAATTTATTAATTAATTAATTATTTATTTAATTTTTTTGCAATTGCACAATTCTATATAAATTTTTCTTGTTATTTGCATAGTGAATTTTATTACTTCCGAAGTAAATTTAGTACCAATTTTTACAATATTTACATTGTAGTTAACGAAAATAAATTTTACTCTGGGAAATAGAACAAATTATGATAAATAAATTTTGCTACATTTGAAGTAAATTTTAATAATTTTAATAATTTTTACAATAAAATTTTCGTTTAAAGTAATTAAACATTAAAGTAATCTTTATTCCAAGAAATAGTAAAAATTAATTAATAAATTGACTTTAGGTAATAATTTTATTGAGGTAAATTTTACTAAACTTTGATAGCAAAAAACAATTTCAATTTCAATTTTAAAAAATTAAAAAAAAAAATAAAAAAATAAAAAAAAATAAAAATAAAAAAAAATAAAATAAAAAAATAAAAAAAAAAAATAAAAATTTCTTTTAAATAATTAAAAATAAGTGCATACAAAATTTTCATTGGCAGTAAAAAAGTAAAATTTGTTGTAAAAAAATTATAAAAGTTAATGACTAAATTTTACCATAAACGGAAGTAAATTTTATTAATGTTTTCAATAAAATTAGTTTAATTTAAATAAATAGAAATAAATAAAATTTCCATTGGAAGTAATGAAAGTGGAATTTATTCTGGGAAATTTTAAAAATTGATGACTAAATTTTACTGCATTCGAAGTAAATTTTACTGATTTTAAAAATAAAATTTTCATTTGAATCAATAAATGTGTAATTTACTCTTGGAAATAGTAAACATTGATGACTAAAAATAAATTCGAAGTAAAAACTTACGTTTTTTAAAAAAATTAGTTTAATTTGAATAAATAAAAATAAATAAATAAAAGTTTTCTTTGGAAGTAATAAAAGTAAAATTTATTTAGGAGAAATAGGGAAAATTAAAAGAACAAATTTTACTACATTCGTTGTAAATTTTACTAATTTTTATATGCTAAAAAAATGCGCAGGAGTTCTCGAAAGTTACGAATTTATACTTTAATAGTATGGTAAAAGTTACTTTTTTCATTTTTGAAATTTAAATCAAATTGAGAATTAAAAATTTTCAATTTAAATTTATTTCGAAATTTTATATGCTTTTAATATTAATTCAGTTGTGCTTTTGGGTCTTTTTAATGGCAATTTTTATTTCAATAAATTTGTTTATTTTATTTCATATTTTTATTTACTTTTGTTGTTTTTTTTATTTATTTTATTTTATTTATATTGACGGGATAAATTGTTTAAAATATTGTGAATAATAATTTTCATCTTGTTTTCATTTTCTTTTAGCAAAAAATTTTTTTTTTTTTTTGCGTTTTACAATTTAATCATACTTTTTTTAAAACATCCATAAATTTTATGATAAGATTGCCGCAAAAAAATTGTTGACCGAGTATTAAAAATACAATGACTCTGTACAGCTCCACAAAATCAACAATGAAACTTTAAACAGTTTAAACACGGTAATTAAAAAAGAGAGAAAAGAAGTTGAATGTACTTTTTATTTTTAAATAAATATTTATTATTCTTCATTTAATATTTTTAATAAATTATTTTTTATTATTTTTTTTTTATTTTTTATAACAGCGATAAGTTTTTCTAAAACAGCTAAAGTTGTAATTGAAACAACTAACAATTTTGCTGATGCAGTAAAATTTTTAGGTGTTTTAAATAAATTTTTTTATTATTTTTATGTAAAATAATTTTTGTTATAAAAAATAAAAATAAATAAAAATTGTTAATTATTTATTAGATTATTCAGATTTGTTCTCTCTCATTTATTATTTTTATACAAAATATTTTCTAAAATTAAAAAATAATAAATAAAAATAAAATTTTTTAAATAAAATATCCTTATATTAAATAGAAATAAAATAAATTTCCCCAAATTGTTTCGCACACTGAAATAATAAATTGCCATTAAAAAAAACAGCGCAAAAAAAATTTTGTTATCTTTCATTTGCATGTGCGGACATGTTTGTTTCGAGAACTTGACTCTTTTTTGCAATATGCATTTCGTTGACGATTTTTTATAACTGTTAAAGTTACGAAAGAGAGGATATGCGGAGTCAAGGATTTAAGAAAATTAGCTTTTTTTTTCTTTTTTTCGGCAGGTAGGCGTACATGTAACCTGCTTCTGCATTATTCGGGCCATTACCTCCTACGTATATATATATCCCATCTCACAAACCAAGTGCTGCGTAACGCATTAACGGAATGTAAATGAGAAAACGCGAGAAAAAGAATGGACGCGAAAAGAAAGAATGAAAGAAAGAGATATATATGTGTGTGTATGTGTGTGTGGAGAGAGAAAAAAAAATGAAGAAATTGGCTCACTTTTATCCGGTTTCTTATCCTCGGTCCCAAAGTCCTTTGCGATTTGTCTCACGGCGTCCACCTCATCCCGCACTGAAACACGACAAAACTTTTATTTTATTACCAGAGCAAAATGAGAGAAAAGAAGAGTATTTTTCAAACTTGTATATATATGTGTGTTTTATTATTTCACATATTGCTTTATCATATACGGAAAAAAAAATTGCCAGAGAAAAATATGAATATTTTTTTTCAAAAATAATTTATGACGATATAAAGTGGTTTTTGGGTCAAACTTTGCGAAATCACCCTCTCACTTCCAAAAACGAAGAAATTAATTTGAAAAAAATCAAAATTTGAAAATTGAATCGAGTAAAAATGAAAATAGAACAAAAGTCAGTCCTGTGTTGTAAAATAATTTTCTTATTTTAAAAGAAAAGGACAAATTGAAATTTAAATCCGCTTTGGTGGTTGAGTAAGGAATTTAATATTCAACATTTTAGATTCTAATAAAAATTCTATTTATAGCACTAAAAAAGATTTTTGGGTGGAAATTAAAATTTTTATTTTAAATTTTCAAGTAAAGCAATTTTTAAAAAAATAAAATTTATTTAGTTGGTGAAAATAGAAATTTTTTTGGAAAATGGAAATAATAAAATCAATTTTTAAGAAAAAAATTTATATTTCTATCAAAAAAATTTATATTTGTGCGCAAAAAATGAATTTTAGTTTCCAAAAAATAAATTTTCACTTGCAACACATAAATATCTATTTGTAACAAATAAGTATCTATTTTTAACAAATGAATATCTATTTGTAACAAATAGATATCTTTTTGCAACAAATAAATTTCAAATAAACATAACAATTTTTAATTGTAACAAGTGACTTTCTATTTCTAACAGAAAAATTCCATTTTTATACCAAATAAATTTTTATTGTTAAAAAATAAATTTCTACTTGCAAAAAATATATTTCTTTTTGTAACAATAAAATTTGCATAATTAGATGAATTTCAAAAGGTTTTAATTTGAAATTCTTAAAAATTTCATTTTTGAATGAATTTAATTAGAACTTTGAAAGAACTTTGATTTTCCAAAAATTTTAATAACTAAAATTCTTCTGAAATTAGTTAAATTTTTTAAAGATATATTTAATTAATTGTTAAAAATAATGGATTTACAGAAGAATTTTAGTTAAAAACACAAAAAAAAAATTAATTTTTGAGAAGTTACATGAACAATAATCTAGTTATCAATAATCAAGTAGAGCTTTACATGACTTTAAACTCGTTAACATACGAAAAATAATTTTTCTTTTTGCCGAAATAAGCCATTTGTTTGTTTAAAAAGTAAATAATTTGTTTATAACAAATGTAATTGTTTGTGCTAATAAATTTTTAAAATTTTTGAAAGAATGTACATATTATATAAATATTTTATGTTTAAAAAATGCATAAAATGTTTACAAATGTCAAAGAAACTTGATTATTGTTCATGTAATTGTTAATAACAATGGTAATTGTTAAATTCAAAATAATTTTTACCAAAATCGACATATATTACTTAAATAAACATAAATTTGTGTGAAAAAAAAAATTTTGTTATAAAAAAAATTTCTATTTGTTAATTAGTCTGAATTGGCATCTTTCTGCACCCAACCGACGATATATTGATAAATTTAACTAATTTCAAGAAGAATTTGAACTATTAATATTTTGAAAAAATCTAAGTTTTTTAAAGTTTCTAATTACATTGGCTTCGTCCATAAATTACGTCACACTTTTTAGGGGGGGGGGGGAGGGGTCTATGAAAATGTGACTAATTGTGACAAAGGGGAGGTGGGGACCTTTTATTTTGTTATGTCACACTTTATACTCTATTTATTATAATGAGAAAATTGTAATAAATAAAAATATCAAATATATTTCTTGTTTTTAAAATATTAAAAAATGTACTAATTATATAAGTAACTTTATTGTTGGGTGTACTTCCAAATAAGGGGGACCTCCGATTTTAATAAAACTTGGTATACCAACGTATTTTGATGCGCTGATTACGAAAATGATAATGAAAATTGTCGCAAATTTGATGTTCATGGTGAAAACCATAAAAAAACCATAAAATTCTGATTTTCTTGCGTATAATTCGTAAAAAAACGAAGGATATTATACTTCCGAAAAGCGCATGCCTCCGATATTAATGAAAGTTAGTATACTTACGTAATTTTGTGCCCTGATTACGAAAATCATAGTGAAAATTGGCGACTAGATCATCTTCATGGTAAAAACCATAAAAAACACCATAAAATTGTGGTTTTTTTGCGTTTAACTCGTTGGATTGGATTAATCATAATTTTTTGTGTTTAAAAATATTTGTAAATTTTTCTCTGCTTTTATATTCTAAAAAATCCAAGGTGGATGCCTCCTTTCTCCTCGAATTAAAAGCAGAAAAAAAATTTACAAATATTTTTAAACACAAAAAATTATGGAGGAGGGAGTCATCCACCTTGGGGTTTTCAGAATTAAATAGAAAACAAAAAATATCACAATTATCTCTCCAATCAATTAAATTTTGATAAAAAAAAAAATTTCCAACCGAAGGTGAATGACTCCTTTCTCCTCCATATAAGAGCAGAGAAAAATTTACAAATATTTTTAAACACAAAAAAATATGATTAATCCAATCCAACGAATTATACGCAAAAAACCACAATTTTATGGTTTTTTTTATAGTTTTCACCATGAACATCAAATTTGCGCTAATTTTCATTATCATTTTCGTAATCAACGCATCAAAATACGTTGGTATACCAATTTTTATTGAAATCGGAGGTCCCCCTTATTCGGAAGTAATCCACTTTATTTATGTAAAATTAGATATTGACAGTGATTCATTTTGGAAAAATTTATTAAAGGGGGGTTTACGAATTGTGACGTAATTTAGAGGTGTTACGTAGTGTGACAAAGGGGGGGAGGGGGTCAAAAATGGGCTAAAACGTGTGACGTAATTTATGGACGAAGCCATTCATTAAAAATTGAAAGTTTATGAAATTTCAAATTAAAGTCTTTTGAAGTTGATCTATTTTTGAAAATTGTAAACTCAATTCTTTTAAATGGCAATTAATATTGAAATATTTAAATAAAATTATTCAATAAATAATTTATAAATAACAATAATTTATTGTATGATTGTTTTTCAAGAATGAAGTTATTTAAAAAGAAATATTACTGTCGGAAATAGAAAAATTTGAAAGTTTTGTATTAGAATTCGTGGTGATTTCATAGCAAAAAAGAAACCATTTTCGATTTTTTCGGGCAAAAAATTGAGAGTTTCCGGGCAGCGATTTTTTCGAAATTGTGTAGGAATGTTAGGAGACTCACTCGGAGTCATTTCCAAAAATAAAATCCTTGGTCAATTCATAACTCTAATTTTTACATATGTTGTTGTCAAGTTGGTCTAGTTTGCATACATATTGACAACAACATATGTAAAAGTTAGAGTTATGAATTGACCAAGGATTTATTAAAGATTTATTAAAATTTTAGAAAATAATTGAATTCTTTTGTGAAATTTTATTAAAATTTGGAAAATAATTTAATTCTTTCGTGAAATTTTATTAAAATTGTTGAAAATATGAACAGTAATAATTAATTTTTTAGAATTATTAGAATTATTAAATTTTTTTTTTCAATATGTTATGTTTTTCTACACCCAATGGGAAATGCCAGTGTAGTGCCGATGTTCACCACTGGCATAGTACTCAGACGATTGTTCGGCGTATTATAGCCGAGCCTCGACAATTAGTGCTGGCGCAGTACAGAATTTTTGTTTCGCCAAAGCTTGGACAAGCCACGGCGGCAAGTGCTGGCTGAGTATAGAAAAATTGTTCACGACGCTCTTTGCCAACATTGCTTTTTTGACATAAACTTGAGAAAAATTATAAAAAAAGTTTTTGACTGTTTATAAATATAAATTTATTGAAAAAATTAATATTTCACTTTTCAGTTGTTCATTTTTTATTCTTATTAAATTCAATAATAACAATTTAACACAATTGTCTAATTTTGTAAATAATAAATTATTTAAACAAATTAAAATTATAAACAAAATTTAAACTTTAATTTCAATTATAATAATTTGGTTCCTATTAAAATACTATTATACTTCTTACTATGAATAAAAAATTATTAAAAAATTACCACGTAATTTAAGAATTACGTAAAATGTTAAATGCAATAAGTAAAGTAATTTAATTTAATTAATAAAAATTTAGTTTAATTTATTTTATTTCAATTTATTATTTCTAACGTATCCCTATTTTTTCTCATCTTTGACTCAATAATTGTATGTCTGAATGATACTGAGATATTAATACTTTTCTGTACACATGTGTCGTTAGCATAGTGGTTAGAGCGTTAGTCTGTTAGTCCGTAGGTCGTAGGTTCGATTCCCCTCATCAGCAATTTTGTTTATTTTCATAGGTTTGCGATATTTCTAGATTCTAATCGTTAGGTACTAAAATATGAAAATCTAATGCACACTTACTGTAATTGTTTATTATTTAATTTTTAAATGTTATAAACAATTTTTTTCTACTTCATTTACTATATCCGCATTGTTAGTCTCCATCTTTAATACAATTTCTTTAAGAAGAGAAATATTTTATGAATAATAACTATTTATTAATATTATTTACCATTTTGTTGTTAAATTATTTATAATTATGAATTTACGACTAATTAATAACAATACGGCATTTATTGCGGCAATATTCTCAGCCAGCACTGGTCCAGTGCTGCGCCAGCGCTGTCTGGCAGCACTGACAGACAGTACTTCGGCAGCGCCAGACGGCGTTATCATCCCAGTGCCATGCCAGTGCTGGCTCTCAGCCTTGCCGCCAGTGCTGCCAGTGCTGGCGCAGTACTACGCCAGTTGTAAATTTCCCATTGGGCACCTACAGATTGTATGTACGCCCAAAAATGGTTCGGCAGGACCGCGGGTATACAAATGTACAGAAATAAATAAATAAAATATATTTTTCTCGATTATAGAGTGATTAAAAATATTCTTTAAATCACAGGGATAACATTT